ACACGGACTTTCAACTCCCTCCAAAGGTTTTCTATGGGGTTGAGATCTGAAGACTGGCTAGACCACTCCAGGACCTTGAAATGCTTCTTACGAAGCCACTTCTTCGTTGCCCGGGCGGTATGTTTGGGATCATTGTCATGTTGGAAGTCATGTTGGAAGACCCAGCCACGTTTCATCTTCAATGCCCTTGCTGATGGAAGGAGGTTTGCACTCAAAATCTCACGATACATGGCCCCATTCATTCTGTCCTGTTCATGGATCAGTTGTCCTGGTCCCTTTGCGGAGAAACAGCCCCAAAGCATGATGTTGCCACCCCCATGCTTCACAGTAGGTATGGTGTTCTTTGGATGCAACTCAGCATTCTCTCTCCTCCAAACACGACGAGTTGTGTTTCTACCAAACAGTTCTATTTTGGTTTCATCTCACCATATGACATTCTCCCAATCCTCTTCTGGATCATCCAAATGCTCTCTAGCAAACTTCAGACGGGCCCGGACATGTACTGGCTTAAGCAGGGGGACACGTCCGGCACTGCAGGATCTGAGTCCCTGGCGGCGTAGTGTGTTACTGATGGTAGCCTTTGTTACGTTGGTCCCAGCTCTCTGCAGGTCATTCACCAGGTCCCCCTGTGTGGTCCTGGGATTTTTGCTCACCATTCTTGTGATCATTTTGACCCCACGGGGTGAGATCTTGCATGGAGCCCCAGATTGAGTGAGATTATCAGTGGTCTTGTATGTCTTCCATTTTCTAATTATTGCTCCCACATTTGATTTGTTCACACCAAGCTGCTTGCCTATTGCAGATTCAGTCTTCCCAGCCTGGTGCAGGTCTACAATTTTGTTTCTGGTGTCCTTCGACAACTCTTTGGTCTTCACCTTAGTGGAGTTTGGAGTGTGACTGTTTGAGGTTGTGGACAGGTGTCTTTTATACTGATAACAAGTTCAAACAGGTGCCATTCATACAGGTAATGAGTGCAGGACAGAGGAGCCTCTTAAAGAAGAAGGTACAGGTCTGTGAGAGCCAGAAATCTTGCTTGTTTGTAGGTGACCAAATACTTATTTTCCACCATAATTTGCAAATAAATTCTTTCCAAATCAGCCAATGTGATTGTCTGGATTTTTTTCTAATTTTGTCTCTCATAGTTGAGGTCTACCTATGATGCCAATTACAGGCCTCTCTCATCTTTTTAAGTGGGAGAACTTGCACAATTGGTGGCTGACTAAATACTTTTTTGCCCCACTGTAATATAATTGGATACTAACATTTATAGGTAAAGTTGATCCAGGGAATATCCAATTGCCTCTCAGGGGATCAGGAAGGATTCCCCTGCAGGAGCAAATTGGATCATGCTTTGCTGTGTTTTTTTTTGCCTTCCTCCTGATCAACTCTGGGTATAGGATTATAACTTTTTTTTTTTAATGGTTGAACTGGATGGAGTTTTGTCTATTTTTCAGCCAGACTAACTATCTAACTATGTAACTATGCTTTGCAGGAATGCCAATCAGCTGCAACACTAATCTGTGTAATCTGACAACAACAGGGTGCTTATCTCAGAATACATATGTCAGTGCCTGCAGCGCTGCAGGAGAAGATTTCTTCATCTACACTTAAGAAAAGAACGTGTGTGTCCAGCATTGGAGTGTGGAGTGTTCAGGGCACAGCAACTCATATACCCTGCATACACTTTGTTTCATATTTTTCTGGCAGTGATTTCTTCATCCACATTGATCGATGTGAATGGAGCAATTTGTTAGGCTCTTTTTTTGTTCAGCCTATAGGCTGAACGAAAAAAGAGCATTACATGTATGCCCAACATTAGAAGAGTGGGTGGATGTGTAGTGGAAGCTTCTAATGTTAGACATAAGCTTTTTCTGGCAGAGATGTCTTCATTTACATTGATCCACAGGCTGAATGAAAAAAAGAACATTACATGTATGTGCAGCTTTAGGAGTTTGGTAGAAACACATAATATTTTTAAAATGTCAGGGCAATTCAATCACCCCCAAATGACCCTTTTTAAAAAATAGACACCCCAGGGTATTTGCTGAGAGGCACGTTGAGTCCATGGAAGATTTTATTTTTTGCCACAAGCTTTTGTAAAGTGCAAAAAAAATTAAACAAATATATATATATATATATATATATATATATATATATATTACCAAAAGTATTGGCCTCTCCAAATCATTGAATTTAGGTGTTCCAATCACCTCCATGGCCACAGGTGTATAAATAAATCAAGCACCTAGGCATGCAGGCTGGTTCTACAAACATTTGTGAAAGAATGGGTTGCTCTCAGGAGCTCAGTGAATTCAAGCGTGGTACCGTGTTAGGTTGTCACCAAAATTTCCTTGCTCCTAAATATTCCACAGTCAACTGTTAGTGGTATTATAACAAAGTGGAAGCAACTGGGAACAACAGCAACTCAGCCACAAAGTGGTAGGCCACGTAAAATGACAGGGCGGGCCAGCGCATGCTGAAGCACATAGTGTGCAGACGTTGCCAACTGTCTGCAGAGTCAATAGCTAAAGACCTTCAAACTTTGTGTGGCCTTCAGATTACCACAACAACAGTGCGTAGAGAGCTTCATGGAATGGGTTTCCATGGCCAAGCAGCTGCACCCAAGCCTTACATCACCAACTGCAATGCAAAGCGTTGGATGCAGTGATGCAAAGCACACCACCACTGGACTCTAGAGCAGTGGAGACATGTTCTCTGGAGTGATGAATCACGCTTCTCTGTCTGACAATATGACAGATGTAGCTGGGTTTGGCGGTTGCCAAGAGAATGGTACTTGCCTTACTGCATTGTGCCAAGCAGGAGCAGACTGACAACTCATGGGGCCCCCCGGGAAATAGGAGATCATGGGGCCCCCTGTGTCCCTGCCCACTCAAGCCGCACCCACACAAAACCCCACCTACATATTACACTGCCCGCAATACATGTGTTTGTCACAGAATTTCTCTACAATATGTTCAAAATAAATGTTTATTACATAAAATAAAGAAAAAAAAACTTACATTAAAGAGAGCGCAACAATGGTATATTTCAAAATGAAGGTTTTAATAAATTTTTCCTATTCCTTCCACTGACACCGATGATAGGGCACTATTCCTCCCACTGACACCAATGATAGGGCACTATTCCTCCCACTGACACCAATGATAGGACATTATTGCTTTCACTGACATGAATGATAAGGCACTATTCATCCCCCTGATACCAATGATGGGGCATTATTCCTCCCACTGATACCAACGATGGGGCGCTATTCCTCCCATTGACACCAAAGGTGGGATGCTATTCCTCCCCATAATACTAAACATGCATGGTTTACTCCCACTGATGCCAGGACAATTTCTGATCCCAAAGACCACATTCCGGCCCTCAAAAACCTGAAGGACAGTAAACTGGCCCTTTGATCTAAATTTGAGGTTTCCAAACTTTCTAAACAAAGCATATTCATGTGTTAGAATGGCCCAGTGACAGTCCAGACCGAAATCCAATGGAGAATCTGTGGCCAGACCTGAAAATTGCTGTTCACAGACGCTCTCCATCCAATAACAGAGCTTGATTGATTCTGCAAATGTCCCTCTGTAGATGTGCAAAGCTGGGACAGACATCCCCAAAAAGACTTGCAGATGGAATTGCAGCCAAAGCTGGTCCTACAAAATATTGACTCCGGGAGGGCCGAATACAAATGCCGCCACACTTTTCACAGATTTATTGGTCACAAATGTTGGAACCATTTCTCATTTTCCTTCCACTTCACAATTATGTGCCACATTGTGTTGGTCTATCACATCAAATCCCAATAAATATATTGTAATACATTGTAACATGACAACATGGGGGACATTTCAGGGGGGGGAATACATTGTAACATGACAACATGGGGGACATTTCAGTAGTGAGGAAGACTTTTTCAAGCCACTATATATATCACTGATATCTGTACACTGAGTGCTATTCCTTATATATACTGTAACACTGATATCTGTACATTGCGTGCTATTCCCTATATATAACACTGATAGCTGTACACTGGGTGCAACTCAGTGTACAGATATCACTGTTTTATATAGGGAATATAGAATAGAAGACTACTATTAACCCCTTGCCTACCGGGTACTTATACCCCCTTCCTGCCCAGGCCAATTTTTAGCTTTCAGCGCTGTCACACTTTGAATGACAATTGCGCGGTCATGCAACACTGTCCCCATATGAAATTTTTATCATTTTTTTGAGACAGATAGAGCTTTTTTTGGTGGTATTTAATCCCCTGTGGGTTTTTATATTTTGCTAAACTAACCAAAAAAACTGAAAATTTTGAAAAAAAAAGTTTTTTTCTTAGTTTATGTTATAAAATTTTGTAAATGAGTAATTTTTCTCCTTCATTGATGTGCACTAATGAGGCTGCAGTGATGGACACTGATAAGGCAGCACTGATGGGCATTGATAGGCGGCACTAATGGGCACTGATGAGGACGCACTGGTAGGTGGCACTGATGGGCATTGACAGACATCACTGATGGGCACTGAAAGGCAGCACTCATATATGGCACTGATAGGCAACACTGACTGGCACTGTAGGTGGCACTGACGGGCACTGATTGGCAGCACTTATAGGCGGCACTGACTAGCACTGATAGGCAGCTCAGATGGGCACTGATATGTGGCATTTATGTGCACTGGTAGGCACTGATATGTGGCATTGATTGGCACTGATATGTGGCATTGATTAGCAATGATATGTGACATTGATGTGCATTGATTGGCACTGACATGTGGCATTGACGGACACTAACAGGTGATATTAATGGACACTGACAGGTGGCACTGATGGGGCTACACTGATCATCAGGGCACTGATCAGTGCCCTGATGATCAATGTAGATGTTCCCTCTGAGTAATGCCAATTACCGGCTCTCCTCTCCTCACCAGCTGTCAGCGTGACAGCTGGTGAGGAGAGGAATGCCGATAACCGGCATTTCCTTATTTACATGGGATCAGCTGTGATTGGACACAGCTGATCACATGACCAAGCGGACGTCTTCGGCTCTTTCCGCTGATCAGTGATCCGCTGTGTCCCAGGGACACAGTGCACCACCGATCGTTAGAGTGGGAGGACATATGATGTCCTCCCAGAACAAGAGAACCACCGCCGCCTGTCATTTCCTTATATGGCGGTTAAGCTGCAGTGCTGTCAGTGTCACTGGGGTCGGGGGATTACACACTGACCTGCTGCAGGATACAGGGCAGGTCAGCACAACGATGACTCCGCTTTCTTCTCTGGCCGCCCATCCTGTGGCAGGGATGTGGGACCCGACCCTCTGAGGAAACTCCAAGGAGAGGTGTCCGAAGAGCCTGCCGCAGCGCTGCCCCGTTGCACCACTTCCTTTTTTCCTCCTTTCAACAGCGGCATATCCAGAGGATGGACTGAGCCTCTCATGGGGCCCTCTAGTGACCCTGGGCCCTCGGGCAGTGCCCGAGTGCCCGAATGGTCAGTCCGCCCCTGGTGCCAAGTATAAAGTTTGGGGGGGGCATTATGGCGTGAGGTTGTTTTTTCAGGGGTTGGGCTTGGCCCCTTAGTTCCAGTGAAAGGAACTCTTAAGGTGTCAGCATACCAAGACATTTTGGACAATTTCATGCTCCCAACTTTGTGGGAACAGGTTGGGGATGGCTCCTTCCTGTTCCACCATGACTGCGCACCAGTGCACAAAGAAAGGTCCATAAAGACATGGATGAGTGAGTTTGGGGTGGAGGAACTTTACTGCCCTGCACAGTCCTGACCTCAACCTGATAGAACACCTTTGGGATGAATTCGAGGGGAGACTGCAAGCAAGGCCTTCTTATCCTCTTCTGGAAGAATGGTCAAACATTCCCACAGACACACTCCTAAGCCTTGTGGACAGCCTTCCCAGAAGAGTTGAAGCTGTTAAGCTGCAAAGGGTGGGCCAACTCAATATTGAACCCTACGGACTAAGACTGGGATGCCATTAAAGTTCATGTGCATGTAAAGGCAGGAGTCCCAATACTTTTGGCAATATAGTGTATATATATATATATATATATATATATATATATTTTTTTTTTTTTTTTTTTAATTGTAAACAAAGTTGTCACTTTATGAGGTATTTCTCACACATGCCATGGGTATACATGGAATTACACTCCAAAACACATTCTGCTACTTTTCCTGATTATGCAGATACCACATGTGCGAGACTTTTTGGCAGCCTAGCCATGTACAGGGGCCCAAGTCCAAAATCCAATGACCACTCTCAGGCTTTCTAGAAGCATTAATTAATCATTGTATTTCCTGACTACGTATCACATTTTTGGAGGCCATGAAAAGCCAGAACAGCATGTAACCCCCAAAGCACCCCTTTTTGGAAAGTAGACACCCCAATGTATGAGTCTTTGGAAAATCTTACTTTTTGCCACAAGCTTTTCAAAAATGAAAAAAAAATATATTTTTTTTTTACAAAAAGTTGTCACTTTACTGAGATATTTCCCACGCGCGTCATGGGTATACATGTAATGATCTTAAGAAGATAGCCTTAAGAATTGTTTTACCTTCATCATGAAGGGGTTAATAAGAGGAAACCTTGTTTTTTGTAAGAAAAAAGTAATACAGGCTGCACTATTCCTTACTAAACACAAGAGGGCATAGTAAACTAGACATACCGTAATTAAACTGCTTCTTCAAACATTAGTTAGCGCCTGTATTCAGTATTATTATTATTATTATTATTATTAATAATACCTTTTCATATTTACATCTGTCCATAGTTTCTTCCTTTCTTTTCAAAGGCTTTTCCACTGTTCAGGATGGAGGAAAATGTCAGTTTTTAATTTTTCAGAAAAGAGCTAGCAAAATGTAAACATCAATTTTATTTTTAAGTTATACTATGTGAAGGAACGTATAACAAATATAAGTTGGGTGTTATCCCCATTTGATGCAAAAGATGATGAATTTTACTGGCAGATTAAACTGGTAAAACTAAGCTTGCATAAAGAAAAAAAAAACTAATGCAGCCACCACATCTAAGAACTAGTGAGCTACAGTATATAACACTTTTTGGTTTAGGTTTAGATACATATTTTATAACATTACAAAAAAAATTTTTAAAAAGTTTTAAGGTTACAATATAACAAAAAGACCAAAAAGACAAAGACAAAGGGTGTACCATAAAGCATAGTCAACATACACAAAATAATGTAGAGAGAAGTTCAACATCTGTATAGACCTTGCAGAAACCATAGTTCATGACATTTTGCATGCCCATAGTAAAAGAAGCAAGCATCATTAACAATCTAGACATTTTTAACCTGGAGAAATAGAATAGGGAGAGAAAAGGGGGGGGGGGGTGAGTTTAGATTCATTATAATGTTCTGCTAATGAAATTCAGGACAAGTACAAACTTGCTAAAATTAGAGAGACCTTGAAGATATGACAGAGATATGGAGAATGCCCTTTCTGACCTCCTTTTGAAAAGAAATGACTGCTATGTTGACCAACAGGTTCCAGGATTTTCAGAGTTCCTAACCTGGGATAATTATAAGGATCATAAAATGTCAAAGCAAAGTTTGAAATATCTGCATACTTGTTCAATATCAGTTATTCAAAGCATTAAACAAGATGGTCAGCAGTACAGCTGAGTGGCTAGCATTTTCAGATAGAGAGAACAAGGAGGTTAGTTTGCTTTTCTTTATCCTGCAAAGTAAACAGTACCTTGCCTAGGAGGCCACTTGCAAAATCCTAGACACGTGTATGGAAGTTAAAGAGGAACTGAGCTAAAATATTTGGGGGTTTTTATGACAGAAGAGACACCTTGTTGGTCAAAGATGCTTCCCCTTTCCCATGCATGCAGAGCACAGTGTACATTTATGGCTTTGTGCCATAATGATGTGATTACCTTGTGCATGTGCATGAGTGAGGCAATCATGGCCTGGCCTTAGTAGGTGCCAGAGTGAACCCAGATGGAGGACCTAGAAAAGATGGAAGTGCTCATGACCAACAGGAGTGCTGAATTCTCATCACTGGAGTGCATTGTTTGACAAGTCTGCGATAATGTGCTAATATGTGGTGCAAACAAATACATTATGGAATAAAGCTCTTGGGGGCCCATTTATTTAAAAATATATATTGCAGTTTAATTCTGCTTTAAGTCACCTTTGAAATAATTCCTTAACCACATCAAGTCCGGATACTTTTACCCCCTTCCTGTCCTGGCCAATGTTCAGCTTTCAGTGTTGTCACACTTTGAATAGCAATTGCGCGGTCATGAAAAACTGTACCCATATTAATTTTTTAGCATTTTTTTTGAGACAGATAAAACTTTATTTTGGTAGTATTTATTCACTACTGGGATTTTTATTTTTTTTTGCTATATAAATGGAAAAGTCCAAAAATTTTGAAAAAAAGTGTTTTTCTTATAAAATGTTGCAAATAAATATTCTTTCTTCATAAATCTTGGCCAAAATGTATTCAGTTATCTTTTTGGTAAAAAAGAAAAAAATAACCCAAATGAGTTTATAACCAAAAATTATAATTTTTCAAAACATTTTTTTACAATTTCTTTTTATATTATTATTTATGTTTTTTTTTTTAGCATACTGTCACCCTAGTAGTACAGAGTCATCATAGTGACACTGTACTACTTGTGGGGGGTGATGAAGATTTGTTTTTCACACTGATTGCTTTTACACCCATAAAGGCTGTAAAAGCAATAATTTCTCCCTCTCTCTGGATGCATTATTGCAGCCATTGAGAAATACTGTACTGTGAGAGCTGTGATTGGTCCAGCTTGTCACATGAAAGAAGACTGTTGTCAATCGCCTTTGTACCATGTGACCTCTGTGATCATTCACAGATTTCACTAGTAGTAAGCAATGATGTCAGGAAGTGACATCTTGCTTACTACTATTCATGTGATTACTGATTGGCCAATCAGTGATCACATGATTGGGACCTCACACAGAGGTCCCGTACAGCGATCGTGGTGCCGCGCACACCTAGGGAGCGCGCACTGGCTGTAAATGCGGGCACCATTTATGAACGGCAACCCACTCCTGCACTTCTCCCATCTGGCCGTTTATATACAAGGGCCAGACGGGAAGTGGTTAAAGTATAACTTCAACAAAAAATAAAAAGCATATTAAATATTAAAAGCATAACAAACTAGCTTTTGTTGCAATATTCAGCTTTTGTCCAGGGATTTCTCAGTCTGTTGGTCAGCTTCATTCAGTCCACTTTCTGAGGCTAGGTTGTTCTGGACCCACCCACTCACTAGATGATTGTCAAATGATTTTATGCTGCTACAGCCTTCTTAGAAGCCCGCCACCTACAAAACTGGTGTGCATATTTGCAGCCTCAGCAACTTGTTTTCCCAGAAAAAGGAAATATTACAATATATTAAATTTTTGGTTTTGGGATTAACACTGCTTTAATTTTCTCCTTTTTTTTTTGTTTTCCTTTTTTTCAACTGGTGATCTGGACAGTAAGACACATCCTGTCGTATGGCTCCTGTATCAATAGCGGAGCAAGGAGCAGGAGTCACCCTTGTACAGCAGCATTGTCTGGGCAGGGTACTCTTAGAGAACTAGTAGATTTAGATGACTTTACATAGGTAATTCACAAATTAACTAACTACATCTAACACTTTTTAAGCAGTTAAATAAACATTCTTTTGTCCTTTTGGGACAAAAGTTTTACATAAATTAATAAAAGCTGATCATTGTAAGCACCCTGTTAGTGGTAAATGGTTTGACTCAACCCGCTAACTGCCATTTTGCTGCACAGCTTGGTCTGTTAAAGGAAGTTGAAAAACAACAGGTTTTTTTTGTTCCCTCAGCTGTATTACAAAATCTCCATTCTCAAAAATGAGGTAGATGGAGGAATCCTGACTGCCGGAACATTGTATTCTGACAGTGGCTTCCTCTGTTGTCAGTTTATACTGATCAGTGGCTGCAGCCAAAAAGCTTTCCAGCTTGTCTGTTTCACAGAAGTCGTCCTTGCTAAACCAGACACATTTCTATTTGTCTATGGTCAAGTTTACCAGGAGGATCAACAGCTAAAAAAAAGTTACAGGGTGGCCTGCATCATATATATCGTTTTTGATTTTGCCTTTTATACCACTTTAATTTTTGAATTGTGAGTGGCTAGTTCCTCTTATGTATCTGTTTTATGAGTAACCTACAAGAACAGGCAGTTAGTAAGATTTTGAGTTTGTAAATTCTCATTGTAATTAGTTATATGAATAAAAAATAACGTGATTACTTTTACAGGCTAATCAATATGTAGCACTACCCCTTTAGGAGTTGCTGAGTTTTGGGTCCCCCTAAAGCCCTGCACAGCCAGGCAACATGTATTTTCATCCACACTTTCCACTCGGAGTTGGTAACCAGTGCTTGAGCTTGGTTTTGTGATTTTATTAATGGGTAAATAGCTTGGATGGTACTGAAGGGTGTATGGGATAACTAAGGAACTACAAACTTGAGGACAAACTCCTTAGTAACTATGTGCTGATGTGGACAAAAATAGTCTCTCCTTTAAGAGCCTTAGTGCTCTCTGGTTTACCTCGTCAGACTCCAGATGAATCCTCCTCTTCAGCCAGCTGCACTGAGGGTATTCCCTGGGCAAGCGGGCCCAGAAACTGCCAAATTAGCACAGCAGCCCCAGATGAGAAGCTAGTTGGGTTTCCACCTGACTGTCCTCTTCCCTTATCTGGCCCAGGGTGTGTAAGAGTACTCAGACTGTCCTTCCTGATAGCTTAATGGGTTGGCGTCTGACTTTAGGCCTTTCACTGGGCTGGCTCCTTCCCTGTTGCTCAGGATAGCCTCCTTTGAAGGTGGTGGTACAGTGTAAATCTTCTTCTCTAGCACCTACCTGCAGTTAGGCCCCTTCCCTGGGCCCCCTCCCAGGCCCCACACTCCAGCCTCTCACTCCAACTTCCACTGAACACTCCCCTACCACTCCCAAGCTATGTGATTCTTAAGGGTTGCCTTGGTCACCATGCTCAGACTCCTGCCAGGGGTTTGGCCAAGGTCCCTTAAGCATGCGAATCCGAACTTCGTCCTCTCCTTCATCCCTCTTTCGGAAAGCTCTCAGGTTTCTGGGGTAGGTGGGAGGGCTGCAGAAGCTCTGACCTTCAGAACCTCCCTAGCCTCTCTGAGGTGAACTCCTGCCTTACTCACAGGCTGACACATCCCAGGCTGCTACTCAGCCTCTGCCTTAAAAAATAAAAAAATAAACTGCTATCTTGCTAATCCAGACTGCGTTACAAATACTTGTTTTTATTTGAAAAGATGATAACTGGGTAGACATTACAGGATTGCTAAAATAGTATCAACAACTCATAGATAATATATCTGTGACACTCTTCTGTCACCATCTTATGGACAGAGATTATAGATTAAAAAATTGCTGATTCTCAGGCCCCTCTCTTCTTCCTGTGGCCCTGTTGGTGGCAAATAATAGTTTTCACCCTAAAAGGTTAATATATTTTAATTCTTAAACCCTTCAGTAAACTACATTGTGTTGTAAAGGTTCATGGACTTAATTGACTATGTATATCTTTACAGGAATTATAGAAGAGGAAAAATCAATTTACTGGTATGAACTGTACAAATCAAACATAAGCTTGTGGAATTGCTGAGAGCAATGTCCCTACAAATAAACTGTATGTATGTTTTATAGGCTTACTTACTGAAAGGTGTAACAAGGGGTCATGCCTGAGCTGGAAATTTTCAAGGATATTTTTGTCTCACCTCAATTCTCAGCTTCAGCAAGGAAAGGTAATTGTAGCCTGACCTTGTGTCTTCATGTCATGCATCTGTCATTTTGCAGGCTCATTATTGGTTTCATCTTCTACTTTACACAATAAAGTCTGATCTGGTTGTAGAGGTAATGCTATTAGACAACTATAAAACCATCTATTACCTGAGCTTGTGAAATAAATTCTTTACTGGGAAACCTACAAGTACTGCACTTGTTATTCTTAGCTGTACTAGCTGTGTTACTAAGGAAAAACTACTGATAAACAGCAAATGCAACACACTAGCTAACTAATGTATTTAAAATAAATGTTTTTTTGGTTGACTTGATACAAATTCTAGGATGGATGAGTGACCAAACCCAGGTACACAGTGTTATATCAGATTTTATAGCTGTTTAGTAGTGTGATGAAAAATACAATAGCTGTGCACTAATATTTGCATAGGAAACAGTATGGTGGTTTATATAGTATTGAATTTTTGTAAACATGCTAATGATCATTGTGCTCTCTTACAAAAGTATCATACAAGACATACTTAAGTAGTTAATTAGTATAAAGGACCACTGACAAAATCAATGCACTCAAACACCTTAAAAGCTCATTTAGAATGTCCTCTTAATTATTACCAGGTCATACTATGCGAATATAGAAAAAGAGGTGTCAAGAGGTTATAAAGCAAACCTACAGTATATAACATGAAAAAATTAACTCTTACACATACTGTATGTGCCCAACGAAAACAAAAATATATTTAATCATAGAAAAAATAAATAAAAACACAACATTAAAAAGAAAACACAAAAAAAAAATAAACAGCTAAAAACATGTAAAGTACAGATTGACAAAAACCCATTCTCTAATGCGTACAGCCTTATAAACTTAAGGAAGTACATACTGGGGAGATTTACTAAAACTGGAGCACTCAGAATCTGGTGTAGCTGTGCGTGGTAGCCAATCAGCTTCTAACTTCAGCTTGTTCAGTTACGTTTTGACAATAGAACGTGGAAGCTGATTGGTTTCTATGCAGAGTAAATCAACCTTTTTGTATTTTTGGTCTGGGTGTAAAAAATTAATTAAAAAATAAGGAAAAATATAGTGATTCAAGAAATATAGAAATACAAAAATGATGTACTGTATTATATAGATGTTGAGTATTATGGTAAAAAATATAATCTAATAGCCCCTAAAATTAAAATCTTGCAGTCCCAGATGGGACAACCAAAGTAAAATTCAGTGCCTAGGTGATATCTGTTCAACAAACAATACTCCAGATGGAGAGTGTATGTAAATGAAATCTCAAGATAATATGTTGATATCAAACAGCTAGAAATGTTCAAAAGTGAATTAAAGAGACAAACAGGGGTTACATATTACATACAGTAGTTAGTCTGGCTGAAAAAAGACAAAAGTCCATCCAGTTCAACCATTAAGAAAATAATAAAGTTATAATCCTACATTCACAGTTGAAGGCAAAAACCCAGCACAGCACGATCGAACTTGCCAAGAGGAAATCGGATATTCCCTGGATCAACTTTACCTATAAATGTTAGTATCCAGTTATATTATGTGTATCTAAGAAAGAATCCAGGCCTTTTTTAAAGCAATCCACTGAGCTTGCCAGAACCAACTCTTGAGGGAGTCTATTCCACATTTTCATATCTCTTACTGTGAAGAAACCTTTCCGTATTTGGAGATTACATTTCTTTTCCTCCAGATGTAAAGAGTGCCCCCTTGTCCTCTGTGATGACCTCAAGGTGAATAACTCTAAACCGAGTTCACTATATGAACCACTGATGTATTTATACATCATATTCCCCCTTAATCTCCTCTTCTTAAGAGAGAATAAATTCAGTTCCTCTAATCTTTCCTCATAGCTGAGCTCCTCCATGCCTCGTATCAGTTTGGTTGCCCTTCTCTGTACTTTCTCCAGTTCCTCAATGTTTCTTTTTGTGAATTGGTGCCCAAAACTGAACTGCATATTCCAGATGAGGTCTTACTAATGATTTGTACAGGGGTAATATGATATCTCTCTCTCTCTCGAGTCTATACATCTTTTAATACAGGAGAGGATTTTTCTTGCTTTAGAAAACGCAGCTTGGCATTGCATGGTATTATTGAGCTTGTGATCTACCAGAACTCCCAGATCCTTCTCCACCATTGATTCCCCCAGTTGTACTTCCCTAGTATGTATGATGCATGCATATTCTCAGCCTCCAAGTGCATAACTTTACATTTATCAACATTAAACCTCATTTGCCACATAGTTGCCCAATTAAACAGTGCATTGAGGTCAGCTTTTAAATTGGAGACATCCTGTAAGGACGTTATTCCACTGCACAGCTTGGTGTCA